CTGCCGCCTTGTTTAGTGCCGTATAAGCCCTTTTTGAGCTTACAGACGAGTCGTCGTCCTGGAGAAACGGAGGGAAGAGGTTTAGAGCTGAATTTCTCGTAGAATTCTGGGATTGCCATATATATTGTCTCGGTAAGCGGCGCGTTGAGATACGCGTTTTTGACATCCGCTTGATGGATTTCCCAGTCGTTGGTAGCAGCGAGCGTGAGTAGGACGCGTAGAGTCGCATGGCGCACAACGGGTGCATAGGTATCAGTGTAATTGATGCCGTATACTTGGGTTTGCCCGTTGGCGACCAGTCGGACCTTGTATTTTTGGATGGCATTGAACGCGTCGCGCTTGAGGGTAAGGACATAATGACACCGAATAATGCTGGCACCAGGAGGGGCTTCGACGATATCCCAGGTATCGAGCTTCTCAAGTTGAGTGAACTCGGCCTGAGCCGCCGGTTCCCAGTGTTTGGCATCAGGGCCTTTGATAGCCTCGCGCAAACTCATTGGCACGCTCTCTGTCACCATCGCAAACTCGACGACCTGGCTGCAAAACGCCGTCACATCGACGTCCAGCTGTAGGTCGGAGTCGTCATCTGGCTCCTCCTCCAGGATCTCAAATAGTGCCGCCACATCCTCCGTGCCAAGTTCCGCAGCACCGGCTCTTCCTTCATTGAGCTTATGGTAGAAGCCGGGCGGTTTTCTTGCACGGTGGCCACGTCCCGTATTCGGCTCAGGCTCGATGAGGCCGTCGCTTCGTGGTTTACGGGCGTGTGGAGGCTCTGGTGCTGGCGTGACAGGTGCAGGAGGTTGTTCCGCTGGCGCGGGGTTAGGTTCGGGTGGTGGCGATTGACGGAGATTTTCAGGGATTGGAGGCTCGACAGTATCGGTGATTCCCTCTGGTGCTTTATCCCCTACGTCTCCTGCATCTGCGGGCGGTGTTTTCGAAGCCGTTTTGGCGGGTGGAGCCTCGGGAGTCGCGAGAATGTCGTCATCATCCCACTCCCCCTCAATCGAGGTAGTACCGGGCTCCAGTGCTGCTTGCTGGCTGAAATACACGTCCCGTTCCACCGTTACCTTTCGCTTACCCGGCCAGTAGACCCGGAAACCCTTCGCTTGCACATCATAGCCAACGAATCGGACCTCGATCGCGTGTCGTTCCAAATCCTTCGCACCCTTGACTTTCAGCCATATTGTCGTTCCCCACGCCAGTAGCTTCGACAAGTTGGGCTTTTTCTTGGTCGCTGCTTCCATGGGGGTTTTAAAATTGGGTAGCGCGGACGTCGGCGATCGATTGCGTAACCAAATGGAGTGTCGCCAGCCTTCGGCCCACAAGAATTTTGGCAGTCCAGATTCAATTAACATTGCACGGGTTTGTTCCGCATGCGTCCGCTGCGCACGTTCTGCGATTCCGTTCGAGCTGGGCGTGTCATGCACGGTAAGATGGCGGATTGTTCCGGCTTTCTCCAAGTGGTCCGTAAATGCGTTAGAGGTAAATTCTCCCCCTCCATCTGATCCCAGTATTTTAATGACAGCTCCCCCTCGTTGCGTTTTTACCCAGGCCTCGTATTTCTTGTAGTTCTCGAACGCGTCGGATTTGGCTTTGATAAAATAGCCGCGCTCCTCGTGCGTCGATAGGTCCATGGGAGTCATCGCGTAACTTGCGCCACCGAGGGATTTCACTGACATGGGACCTTTTAGGTCGACCACCACCTTTCCGCCGTACTCTGTCGGCCGTTCGCTTGTGGCTACTTTCGGGATTGGCTGCCGCGTCGCTTTAGCTTGTACACAGATTTCGCAAAATTGCGGTTTGGAGTCCATGTCGAGGTTGATACCCGTTATGGTGCCCTCCTTGATTGCCCGCATTAACGCGTTCTGATCTGCGTGTCCCATCAGCTTGTGAGCTTGGTAGATGGTTATTTGGTATGATGCAATGTAAGCGGCTTCAGTTAGCTGTGCAGCGTTTATTGATCCCGGTGCACGGTACAGTCCGCGAATCATTGGAAAGATCGCTATGGTCTTGCGCATTGGTCTAGGGTTCAAGATTGAGCAAGCGGCGTCTTCGATGTGTACGGAATAACCGGCGCGGTCAAGTGTGCTGACGGATATAAGGGTGTAGGCCATATGGGGTGAATAGTAAGTGTTTAAAAGCTTCGCGCGTGTCGGCTTTTGGTTAACGCCCATTGGGAAGTAGGTGTTATAGTCTCCTTTACCGGTCGCGCTAAAACTTCGGCCATCTGCTGCTCGAATGGGTACAGGTGGGATTTCTTTATAGTTTGAGAAATTTTCCCTATCTGGCGAGAAGTGGCGAGTGGCGCCGCCGTCGACGATCATGTCACGGGCGGTAGATGATGATGCGGCGTGAGCTTCGGAGTCATTGTCAAAGGATGAAACGTTTAGCGCGACATTTTCGTGGTCGTCATTGGCGAACCCGATTATAAGCGCTACGTCGTCCGAATTGTCCGCTGCCGCCGCCGTTTTTTCTTTCTTCTTCGCCGCCGCTTCTTTGTGCCTCAGGAACCACTGAGGTGGATTGCTCGCCTTTCCACCACCCTTCTCGAAGCAGTTTGGCTTGGTATGACCCTTTTTGTCGCAATTCGTACAGTGCTGATCGCTGTCGCTGTTTTTAGCCCGTTTCGATTTCCCCTTCTTTGCCGCTGACATCGCCGCATTCTCGTTGTCGACTTGTCGATCGACCGTTCGGCTCAGGTACTCATTGGTGAGCTCCTGGATCACGACCGCGGAGGTGACAGGCCGTGGCGGTACGGAGAATCGTGCAGCAGTTGAGATGGTGGTGAGGAGAGAACGGTAATGGTCAGGGACAGAAGCACGTATGTATGCACCAAATTGTAGGTCGCTAAGAGGGTTACCTCCTTTCGCGAGTGTATCTTTCAATGTCATCATTTCCGTTAAGTGTTTCTGCAAGTCGCCGTCGTCATCGCATCGCATCTGCTGCAGTTGGGTGAGAGTATTCATCTGCACCATGTCGCCCTGGTTCTCGTTAAGCTGAACGAGTTGGTTCCAGACGTTGCAAGCAGTAGCTTCATCTTTGATTTGTGCGAAGCGTGTGGCGCTGACAGTTTGGTAGATGATGTCTCGAAGTTTAGATTCCTTCGTCTCGTAGTCGTCCTGCTTTTTCTCGTGTGCCTCTAGCTCGTCGTCGTCTAATGGATTTTGTTGGCCATCAATGAACCAATCCCCGACGGCGTCCTGCGTGAGGTTTGCTGGTTTACGTGCAGTACCGGCGAGATGTCGCCCCAACCCCTTTGACTTTGCATGAGTCATTATGCGCTCCGAGTAATGGATCCAGTTGGCTGAATCGTCTTGGAGAACGGGGAGAGTGGGTTTGCGTTCATCTTCGTCCCTAGTAGCTTGGCCCATAACCTGTGAAGTTCTGAGACGCTGCCAGCGAGAGTAGCGAGGATTCTAATGAGAAGTGAAAGTCTCAGAAATGCGCAAAGGCAAAACTCATGTATTCAAGTACCTAATGAGAAGTGAAACTAAACTACAGTGAGTATAGAACGAATGTAATGTATACGAACACTCACGTCTCAGAAATGCGCAAAGGCAAAACTGAGACACAAATATTTGGCCAACGGTAAATATTAGTACGCCGTAAACTTCAAGAATAAATATGTACAACAAGCGCGTTCACCTGACCGTGTGGATCTCAACAAAGGGAAGGGAAAGGGATAGGAACGGAATCACAAAACTCACTATGCGGCGTATAACCCCGGGCAGAGTGCGCGCGTTCGACCATATGTCGCGCAGGGTGGTGAGCAGGAATGGGTTGTTGTTGGCTGCGGAGCTAATACGAATACGGGGAGAGTCAGAGCATGGAGCAGCGAGACAAGCCGGAAAGACGCATCCGCCGAGCAACACGCGCTCGCGCACGAGGTGGCACGCGAGGAGGAGGAGCGAGACGAGCGGCGCGAGGACCTCGAGGGACGAGGTGGCGTGCAAGAAGGGGGGCAGCATTTGGGAGTGGGAGCGTCGCGCTGGGGCAGGGTTAGTTCATTTGCGTAGGGAAAATAAAAGAGCCCGTGCCCGGCATGAACGCCGCGCACGCGTTGCCCGCCGCCTGTGCAGATGGAGGGAGCGTGTCCACAAGCAGCGCACGATTTCAGGAATGTTTTATATAGCGCAAGGCACATAACGCACCAGCATTAACCGCAAAATCGACAATAAAAATGGAGATGCATAAGACATTTCGACGCTCCAGAATATTTGCACGCCCAGTAAGCCCACGGTCAGCGTCGGGAGGTGGGTGTATAAAGGGCCTAGAACGCGGGCGTGTCCTTTCCACCGGGACCCGTCGGGCGCAGACGAGGCCAAGAGGCAGAATCCGCCAGTCATGGTCAAAGCGTGAATTTGGGAGCCTGGAGGACTGCGGAGTCACCTGGGGCGCCGATTCGATGTTCGAGTTCAACTTGATTCTGTAGAAGACCATTCCGCTCACAATATATTTGGAGATATTGCATGGACTTTGTTAAAAATTCTTCAAGAAATTTCAAGCCCGAGAAAAAGAAATCGCTACAAGCAGCTGCATGGCTCAGGTCCGAGTTGAACGGGCACCTTCTGCATTACGGGAAAGCAATTCAACACATCGGCCATGGGATGCAGGTGCGCTCCCCAGCGCCACCGAGCCTTATCCCACCTATTTAGTCCCTGGACAAACCAGTTCAAAATTCGCTCTATTATATTTATCCCGAGCTTCGCCCAAAGTTCAACCTGTGGGGCGCCCGAGCCTGGGAAGTGCGTATGCGCATCCCGACCCAGCGAGATTTCCTTCAAACTTCCCGTTGAGTTGGTGAAGTTGCAACCAAGGAGCATCACGGCACCAAAAGTAGACCTTGCAAAAAATCTAGATGAGGAGAATATGGCTCAGGCTTGAGTCGAATGGGCTCCTTCTGCCAGATTTTCTTCCTGCTGGTTGGTGAAGTTGCAGCCCGGGAGGAATATTTACAACATCAAAAAAAACCTTTCAAAAGCGAGGATGTAGACCAAATATGGCTCAAGCCCGAGTCGAACGGGCACCTTCTGCATTACAAATACGCGGGCAAATCCAGCAGAGGCAGACGCGCTCCCAGCGCTACCAAGCCTTGTACCACCTATTTAGTCCTTCGATAAACCACCTCATATTCAGTTCTAATTTTATATTCTGGTGGATTCAACCCAGGCTTCAACCAGCGATATCTCCGGCACGAAGGTACATATATTCTTACCCCGCCAGATTATTTTGGAACTCAAACTTCTTGCTGGGGATAAAGTGCAAACAAGGAAATTCACGCCAACCAAAAAAAATGGATTCAAACGAGTTCGTATGGCTCAGGCCCGAGTTGAACGGGCACCTTCTGCATTACAAATCCGTGGGGGACCCAGCAGAAGCAGACGCGCTACCGAGCCTTGTAGCCCACAATTGGTCTTTGCTTAAACCAGCCACACACTTCAGCTCTGATTTTATGTTTCGGGAGATTCAGCCAATGCTCGACCTGTGGCCGGGCTTGGGAAGTGTTTATCCCTGCCTCACCAGATTTTTTTCGCCCTTCCTGCTGGTTGGTGAAGTTGCAGCCAGGGAGAGATATTCGCGGCATCAAAAAAAAAAAAGACCTTTAAAATAAAATAAAAGATAGCAAGTCACCGGAGGTATGGCGCAGACCCGAGTCGAACGGGCACATTCTGCATTACAGTTCATTGCAGTACGAAAATGAACGGAGTGCAGACAGGCTGCCTGGCGCCACCGAGCCCTATCCCACATAATTAGTCCTCGGATAAACCACCAGGAAATTTCGCAGGTGATGTGAGACTCCGAATTTCAACCCATTACACCTCTTCCGCGCTGCTATGCCCTGGTTCATCCCAGGCGCCTAAGTAGGCGCGGTAAATGTTCATATCTTTCCGACATGAACACTTATTCCTATTGTCCGTCCAAGGGAGGGATAATCAGAGGACAAAAAACAACAACCAGTGCAGAACCAATGTAATGGCTCAGACCCGAGTCGAACGGGCATCTTCTGCATTACTTTGAAGGGCTCGCCACAACAGATGCAGATGCGCTCCCCAGCGCTACCGAGCCTTATCCCAAATAATTGGTCCATGAATAAAGCACCACGAAATTCCGAAATTCCCCTAATATCCCACGATTCTCTTCAGGTCCCATTTTCTTGCCATTTCACATTTAAATTGAGACTAATATTTAGACAAAGCCGCCAATCAACAAGAACGCACCGCCGAAGCATCCCGACAACGCCACATGAATTTGTCGGGTAAAACAAAATGTTGCACAGGACAGTGAAGCATGGCTCGGGCCTGAGTCGAACCGGCACCTTCTGCAGCATAGCTACTTTCACCGAAGCAAATGCAGACGCGCTCCTCAGCGCCATCGAGCCTTATCCCAAATAACTGGTCCATGAATAAAGCAACATGAAATTCCGAAATTCGGCCACTATCCCACAAGTCTCCTTTGCCATTGAGATAAATATTCAGACAAAGCGGGCATTCAACAAGAACACACCGCAACAACATCAACCGTTCTTTTTCAGCATGAATTCGCCAGGTGAAAAAAAAAGAGGTGCAACTAACCGATGCACGGCTCGGGCCCGAGTCGAACGGGTGCCTTTTGCGGTGCAACTCTTTCGTAACTGGGCACTAGATGCAGATGCGCTCCCCAGCGCCACCGACCCTTATTCCAGTTGATCGGTCCTTCGATAAACCAGCTCAAAATCCCATCTAATAAATTCATATTCAGGGAGATTCAACCCACTGTTTAACCTGTGATAAGTCAGACACGAAAGCAAACATCCCTATCTCCCAGACTTTCTTCGAACTTCCGGAGACGGGCATTACCAGGGTGCAACAACAGAGGAGGAAAAAATGGATGGAACTTCAATATATGACATATACAACTGCCGATTAAACAGCACAAGATATGTACAATTGCTGGTTAAACAGCAGTGTTACACGGCAAACAGTATGTAGGACTCATTAGGTGTAGCAGTCAAGCTCTCAAATATTTATAGTTGAGCACCTCCGAGTAGTGATCCTAGCAAGCACCACACATGTAGTCCAAATGGTGTTCAAGCTTCAAAGGCTGAGTATATGGCTTAGGATGTCCCAATGCCACTCTCCCTTGTCCTCGGAGAGATGTCTCCAGGCTTTCTTCAAGCTCAGAGGTGATGGATGTAATAGAGAGTAAAAGATAATAATATTCCCACAGTGACTAAACTACGTCATGTACATGATGAGATATAAGTTATAGTGTACATCGACAATATGAGTATAACCCAGTGTGCTCTATCAAGAGACACGCTGCAAGAGAAGTAATAAATAGATAAGTCTGATCATCCTAGAATATAAAAGCAAGATGAGTCATGCTGCAGGTACCTTACAGAGTCACTGTGTTCAGAGCCCAGCTAGCTGCAAAGCTAGCTGAACCTAGCCGAGCTATTTCGAGACGCCGCGAGGCCGTGATGAGGTGACTAGATGGGTAACTAGCCGGACCTCGCCGGAGCTAGACGGTGATTTTTGCGCCTCGCCACGGCCTACCGGCGTCTAGAAATCGCATCGGCTGCCTGGAGCCTGAATGCAGTGAATATGTTGTCACAAGTGGATTAAAAGCATAACAACAAAAGATATGCAAGTCCAAACAGGTATAACAATAAATGAAACTTGAGGCAAGAACACTCGGGGCCTAAAAATCACACTGCAATTTCAAGGGGAACTCGTAAGCTCTTCTGTTCTCTGTCCACAAGTTCTTGCTCCTCTTCAGACTCTGAGTCTTGACTCTTTTCAAGATCTGCCACTGTTGCAGGAGCATTCAGTACTGCAAGTTGCAGAAGCTGTCCCTCATAGTGTTCCAAAATTGGAGCCTCAGTCGTGGATAGCTTTGAATCAATCCGAGCCACATCCCTGGCCTGTGAAGACCTCACAAACAAAGGCCGTGCTGTCTTCCATAATCCAACTGCCCTCAACACTTCTCCGTGACTTTCACAGATATCAGCAATTTGAACCATGCAATTGGCCCTCCACTGATGAACATCCATAAAGGTGAATTCATCCAACGCCACATTGAACAGGCTGAGTGCTGAGTCAATATCCTCTTGCACAGCAAATATCTGGCCGAGACAGCAAAATGCCTTTGCAATAGCCAGCTTGTCCTTAAGCCTCAATGCTAGTGCAAGGAATATCCCTGCCCAACTCATTGTGGTTTTTGTGTTGTTCATTCCAGTGGACAGATCTGCAAGTCGTTCAAGACAAGCAGTTGCCACATCAGTGTTAAACTTTTGTGACAAGGCAAAACATCTTGTGAACATCATATTTGCAGTGCCAAGTGCACCATCTCTGAGATAAAGCTCAGCCCACCGATGATTTGTTATGAGTTCTAGGTCGGTTTTTCGAAAGCCATATAATGGCTCACATTGCAGCTGACATTGGTCCAGATTTTTCCTAATAAGGCCAGAGTCTATTCCACAAGCGAGATCAATGAGAGCAATATTCAGGTTTGCTAGAAGTGAATAATATGCTGTTGCTCTCCTAGTGGCAGCAATGGTAGCCTGAATGCGGTGCGACTCCAAATATTCTGTTTTGAGAAGATGCACCTCTGCAGCTAAATTTTGGAGTTGTAATTCCAGTGCACATCCCTCAAGACCGCCAGAAATCAGAAGCAGTGTGACTTCTTTGAGGAGGATTTGAGCTTCTGAGTAGTTTGCGGATGTGACCTGGCATTCAGCTTGGACAAATAGGGACTGTGCTTGTGCATAGATGCCGCCAAGGGCACCTGCATATTCTTGTGCTCTCATTGCATGTTTCTGAGCGCTGTGGGGATTTCCTGTGAGGGTCATGCTGTAAGCCATCATGCTCAGGGCTCGTTGCCCAATTCTACTGGGAGATCCAGTACTATCTGCCAAAGAAAGGGCTTTTTCATAATATGTGAAAGAACCAGACATGTCAGATTGGGCCTTATATACCCCTAATGCAAAGGACCATTCAGCTAGTGAAAAATTAGACTAAAGCAGCAGAAGCCCACAAGATTATGGCTTACCTTGTTCCAATGGATGCTGGAACTCAAAATATTTATTCCCTTGTATAATTTTTGCTTCAGCATCAGGAAGGGGCACATATTGTGCAGTTGTGACAATCTGAATCAGGTAGTCCCCGAAATTTGGGTTGTCTTTCCAAAAGGCAGTTTGTTCGGGAATTTTCCACAGAAGTGGTGAATATGTGTCCTGTGTCCATCTGTAGAAGCGATTTAGGTTGAGAATGCTCTGGTAGTTCTCAATCACATCTGGACAATCTGTGGTGAGGGAATCTTGAAGAACACTGGTTATATTGCCAACATTCCTCAAAAGTTGTGCTCCTATGTTTGCTGTATCCAGATCCCGGTGATCTTTCCAGAGAGAAAGAAGACCATGAAAGTACTTGCGAAGTTTCAACTTCAATGCATTTGGTGGATGGTGGGAACGAAGGAGGTGCTCTCGAATAGGAGCAAGGACTTGGATTTGCTTCTCATGATCAACAAATGCAAGTGCCATCCTGAGCAGAGTGGTCTTGCTCGCAAGGATGTCTGTGATAGGTAGTTCAGCTTGCAGCAAGTCAGCATCTGTGAATCCATCAGGAAGCATTGAAAGAATGCTGAGCAGGTCCTGAGCTCCGGGGGTCATACGGGAACTTGTGAATGACAACATGATTGATATGTCTAGACTGGATCTTTTGTCATATCCGTCTGACAGCATGAGCGTGCCTTCAGTTTCCCATCGAGATAATGCTTTGTCGCAGCCTTCATGGGCAGCCACACTTGCCATGAGACTGACTGCTAGTGGCATATATCCCGTGAGGTCAAGTAGTAGCTTGACTTTTTCTTCTTTATGTATGTTGTCGGCAACCTCGACAAATGACTCCAGTGCTGCAGAGCTAGAAATGGGCTGGAGAGGTGCCAAAAAGGGGTGAGTCCATTTGACTTTTGCTGGCCGTTCAGCACCACGCATGGTGATCTGTGGATGAGCTGGTCAAGCGAAGAAATTCCTTGAGTGAAATGTTACCCACCATCAGCCCCAACTGAGGCACATCTGTAAGAAGAGAAAGGAATTCCTCAACTTCCTTCCTT